CGAACAAAGGGCCCATGCCGCACATACTAAACAAGGCCAGCAATGAAGTACTGAGAGTCATAGCAATAGAAGCGCCAACGTAGTTATTAGTAATCACAACTGCAGTGAGAGCAGTATTAAGAGAACAGTAATACTAAAATAACCGGTGAATAACCTAACCCCAAGCCCTGAAGCCCTATCCGCGCCAGTTCTACTCCTAGGGCGTGGCTGTCCTGTTCGGTTGTACTTTGCCGTGTTCCGGGCAGAGGGATTCCACCTGGGCCGCGTGCGGGTGGAGGCCGGTTTAGGGTTTAGGGTTTAGGGTTCAGGGTTTATACCCCCAAAAGTAGGTAAAATAATGGCCCCAAACCCCTAAATATAGCCCACAAAGGCCATTATTCTACATACTTTGGGGGTCCAGGTAGGGTCTACGGAAGAGTGACAGCGAGAAGGCGGGGCTCAATGACCCCAACCCCTAAAAACTGGCACCTTTATATGTTGATAGTATCTAGTTTTAGGGTTTAGGGTTTAGGGTTTTAGGGTTTAGGGTTCCCCACTAACCCCTCAAGAATGAGGGCACCCTTATTCCCGACGTTCAGCTTTAATACGCAACCCCAAAACAAAAAGGGAACAAGGGTCCTACTGGGGTTCATAAACCCTATACACTATCATATCTTATGGCTCTTGGGTTTCAGGGTTTACAGTTTAGGGTATAGAGTTTCAGGTTTAGGATTCAAGGCTTTGAGTTCGGGTTTAAGCTTGTACACTTGGGCTGGGGATCCTTTTCAGGAACCTCAGGGGCCGACATTGGTTCATATGAGGGTTTGTGAAAAATTTTGAAGGGGCACGGCCTTAGGGCTACAACCCTTGAACCCTTGATCTTAGGAACCATCAGCATGTTGACACTACTCCTCACACGGAGCATTCGGCAACGGTATGTCATGATACTCAAAGAGCACCAAAGAACACAGTGCATTGAACCATGAAAACGAGAAATACTAGACCCTAAACTCTAAACCCTAAACTTTAAACTCTAAACTCCAAACAAACGTCCTTAACCCCAAACCCTAAACCCGAACCCGCGTTGTAACCAGATGGCTTCGCATTCTTGTCACACTTGCTACTGTATCATCCACTCCCACCAGCCACCCCCGGCCTGGGGTTTAGGGTAGGTTTAGGGTTTAGGGTTTAGGTTTAGGGCTTAGGGTTTTAGGGTTTAGGGTTTAGGGTTTAGTTTAGGGTTTAGGGTTTAGGGTTTAGGGTTTAGGGTACAGTACTATATCGGGGAAGAGTTTCTTGTTAGGGGTGGGGGTGTTGTTATTTGGGAAATCTCATATGACAAAACGATTTTGGGAGACTGCTTGTCACAGATTGCTAGAAGATGATTCAAACTACCTGGAGTAGATGCACGCCCCCATTGTATTCTCTAAACCCTAGACCCTAAACCCTAAGCCTCAAAACCCTAAATAAAAGTTTCCATTTTCTTTTCCGCTACCCAAAAATCCACAATATACTATATAGTAGCTTCCATTTTCCATTATCTCTATATAACCCCTAGTCTATACCCTACAACCCCGATAGAAACGTAGAAAACCTCAATATCATTCCCTCACGCCCTGGAACTAGGAGCAACTCATGAAAGGGGTTATACAGTGGGTTATATAGGGTTTAGGGTTTGGGGTTCAGAGTTTAGGGTCTAAACTCGTTAAAGGGGTTTTCTAGGGGATTATATAGGGGAGTATTATAGGGCTGCTTACTGGGGATGCTAGCAGTTTAGAACCTTAAATGACCTTACAGCATACTTCTACAACAATGCGCCCTTACGTCACGCCCTATTAAGGGTTCCTGGGTTGCACCCCTGGGGTCCCCAATATGGCACCAATAATGCCCTTATATGACCCAATGTAGTCCCCATAGAGTCCTTTAAAATGATCCTGAAACCCAGGAGTACAACCCTACATGTACCCTAGGCTCTGCAAAGTTCCAAGACGCTTAATTGTCCTCTTGAATGCTTCGTCTGCAAGCTTCCGGAGCTCCTTTACCTGGGATTACTTGGGGGTCTCCAGCAGTTTGCGGTCTTGTTTCGGGGTCCTAGAATGAAGGTTATGTATGCCCCAAAGACTCCTATGCACTTCCCTTTTGAGCGATACATTCTAAGCCGCTTCCCAGACCCGCGAAAGGATCCCAAAAACGGAACCCCCTAATTCTCCCCTAGTCTCCCCAATGTAGCAGTGGGTTCATATTTGGGGGGGGGGTCCATTTTTTGGATCCTAAACCCTAAACCCTAATCCCTAAACCCTATATACTCCTATAAAGACCCCTATAAACCCCCTGAAGGAGTTCCAGTTTTTGGATCCTTTAGGGGGTCTGGGTTTAAACGATCATCGCAAATACCAAGACTGAGCAACTCTCGGGGATCACGCGGTGTAGGGTTTGGCGAGGAGATCTTAGGGTTTAGGGTTTGGGTTTGGAGTGTCCCTGAGCCTCAGAAGCATGTAGAATCATGCCGAAAACATGGAACAGGAAATGGAAAATGAGCTGAATATTACCCCTATACTACCCCAATATAGCCCCAATATATAACCCTAACAATAATCCCTAGTTTCCATTTCATTGTCCATTTTCTGTTCCATTTGATTCTCCATTGTAGGGAATGTATAGGCCTCTTCCCGCAACCCCATATACTATATATATATACACATATCCATATACATATATGCATATATAGCCCCCATCTACAAAGGGCCCATAGCATGTAGACGAATGGGTTCTTGAGCTTCTCCTCTTCCAAAGTTGGCTTGGGGCCTCTGTCCCTACACCCTAAACCCTAAACCCTAAACCTGAAACCCTAAACCCCTAAACCCTAAACCCTAAACCCCTAAACCCTAAGCCCCTAAGCCCTCAACCCCGACTTATGGTGTGCAAGTCATGGTTCCGCAGCAACTTGCTAGAGGTTTGAGGGTTTGGGGTAGAACTTAGTGGAAACTAGCTGATTTCTAAAGTGGGATAGATGTAGGTAGGGGCCCTACAAAAAATGAGCTCGTATGGCTTTATTAGAAGAACATATGGGTTATAGGGATCATGGTCCATAAGACTGTAGAAAGAAACTATTCCCAGTTATAGCCCAGTAGCCCTAACCTGGAAGACCCTAAACCCTAAAC